TGGGGGATTTTCAAAAAACGTGGAATTATAAGCGGAATCATTCCATAAAAAGCAAATTATTCTAAAAATAGAAATAGTTCTAGGTTTTTTTTTAAAAAAAAACATAAATAAAAAAATAAAAAAATTATAAACGTTTAATATATAATAAGTAAAATTAATTAAAGTTTGATTATGTAATATTAAATAGATTGTAGTAGCTTAGATAGTTCAATTGAAATATGTCTCAGTAATAAAAGAAAAAAAAAAAAAAACTTAAAGAAAAAAATTAAAGCGGTGGGACTCGAAAGCGGTGGGTTCGAGTCCCACTCGCAGTATATTTTTTTGAAAAATCTCTGTTTTTGCAGAACCGTTCCACAAATGGAACCATTACCATGTGGAACGATATAGATTTTTTCCAACGTTTACGATAATCTTAATGTTTTAGGTAGGTTTGTAATCGTTCCATCTACTTATATTTTGCCGGTATGGTAGATACCTAGCTAACATACACCTCATTACATTAGGTACCTAATATAGTAACCCGTTGCTACGGTACGCACCTTAGCTAAGTAGTTTAGGTATTGTACAATACATTAGCAGGTAGGTTAGTACTACTAAGAAGTAAGTGGTCAGCGGTCAGCCCTACACCTTATCGCCACTTACATAGGTATACGGATACTGCATCGTTGCCCGTGCCACGTGCTGTTAGCTAACGTAAGACCGCCCTCGGACTAAGCACACCAGATGGATGTTCCGTGTCAGCCTTTGGCACGCGGCAGTTGGTTTAGGTTCGGTTGGGGCCTTTGGCTTGGCTTGGCTTGACCTGTCCTCTTCTTCTTATGCATGATCTTCTTTAAGGTAGTTCGTTACCCACGAACGAAGCAGTCCCAGCGCAAAAGCAGCAACAGATGGGGGACGGAGCAAAGCGAAAAAGGGCAGTGGGTAAGCGAGTGAGTGGGTGGGTGGGTGGTTATGTCCATTTCGCAAACCCCGTGCCGTCTAGTGCTTACGGCCACGACCCTAGGCTCCGCTCGCCGGGGCCGAGCGAACAACACGACGACGACGGCGATGCAAGGGACCAGCCGTGTCGCGGTTTGTGGTTGTGGTTGTGGTCGTGTAAGTGGATTGATCAACTTAGCAATCAACTACCTACCTCTAACTAACCTGACTTATCACTTTATTTTTTATTTTTATTTTTCCAAAAAGATCGCTTCGACGACTGCGGCTACTATTTTTTGTCCTTTTTTTTACTGCTTACCCATCCACTTACTTACTAATAGCTATGTGCTGTGTCCCACGCCGCCGCCACGCCTCTAGGTTAGGCGGGATGGATTTGGCTTTGGATTTGATTTACGAATTTTACGACCAGTTTCGAAATTGGTAGACGTTGTAAATATGATGACGATGATGATGATGATGATGGCAATGGTGATTTGTGAGATCGCTAATAAGCTAAATCAGCTTGGGGGTGGCTATTTACAGACAGACACGGGCGCTAATAAAACGGTTATGCGCCTCATTAAAGAGGACACCACGTTTATCAGGCAGCGCAATTTGAGAGACTTGTCGTTGCCTGGGGTATATTTGATATCCTGAAGTTAATTGGGCCATTCTTGTTTTATTTGGATTTGTTTTTTTCGCTGACGCCGCGTGGGGCTCTGGCGTGGCGTCTTCTCATCTTTAGTAGACCACCTGGTCCTGCTAATAATTGTGATAATGATAATATTATTATATAGTAATAATGGAGCGACTTAGGACATATACGATGGCCCGTGTTTACGGTGAGATGTATCTCTAATACAGCCGGGTTAAGTTGTTCTTGCAAAGCGTGTTTTAGTAAGTGTAAGAAAGAGATCTGGATATTAAATAATTAAGACATTTATGCGTTAGCTACTTCTATTCTTACTCGTAGCTAGGATGCCCCAGAGGCGTCCGTGAAACAATGCGAAGAACGCCTATACTAGGCATCGAGTTAGCTATATGGTAGAATTGGAATTAGGATAGTTGCTAAAATTAGATTTCCCGGGCAGATAGACATGATGCTACTATGATGGCCTCTAGATCCGGTTACTCACATCGGCTCAACGTACCTTGAGGCTTTCTCTTGATGGTCCCCGATGACAATGATAATTATCTAGGTACCTACACAGTAAGCATATGAGCAGATCATACCACCGAGAGATGGCAGTGTTTTGGTAGTTGGCGATGGAATGTCTTTGTCTTGAGACAGATTTCGTAAGAGCATCTTCCAGCCGTAGTGATGTCGTACATATGAAACTATTTTGGCATTACAGCTTGGGACCAGAGCTCAATGCATGAATCTTGTATCAATATGCACTGGTATAATATGATATCATATCTAAGCCTAAAGATAAGTTCTATGTAGACCATACTAACTGTACTGGAGATGTTTCTTGCTTAAGCGATATCAAGCCAAGATGGAGATCTAAGATACGTACAGTATCTAAGAAGACAGCTTTGTCAAATCCTGGCTGCAGCGCAGCTAGTACTACATGACATAGGGATCTCGCCTCGAAGTTTGGTGTGAAGGGTACGAAAGTAATCAGATAAATGCCAGTTACGAAAGGAGCGTATTCAAGAATGTGTTCAAGTCCCCAATGAACGCAACCGCGTAGACCTTTAATAACACATGAAGTTAGAATTTTTATTGAATCTTAAAAACAAATTTCGGTGTTATCAATTACTTGCTAAGGGTCTAATGTACAGGTGCATGCATACCCAAGTATGTAGCGTCCTCCCAAAGTCTTCGGCTAGGAGCATCTCATTGCACAATGGCAAGCTCTTCACCATAACAGGTGATAGCAGTCTATACATCTACATAAGGCAGGGAGTACCGCTCTCTTATATGTGTATGGGATCATGTTCATTGATTTTATTGAAGCGTCATTAAAGGTTGTTATCACTTAGGAACCAACGCGAGCCTATGCGGTACTTGTAAGGGTTCGGGAAGATAGCTGTCAAACCGCTACACTACCAAAAGCCGAACGATGTTAACTCGAGGAATTGACGTCGCTACATCCACTCATAAGGGCCTTACAGACAGTACTGTGACAGTGCTCTACATCATTGTGCGATATAAGTAGGTTCCTAGTGTCGTGGGCGTGTTAGCTATGGACAAATGGTCTTCCTACGTATCCAACCGATAGGCCTGCCGTATATCTACTCCGTAGAACAAGTACGCACTCTAGCCCGCGGACGATTTTAGAAATTACGTCGAGGGAACCCTCTCTTTCATGAAGAATAATATTGGGCAACCCTAGCTTTACCTATCCAATACACATATTCCATTTTATCCCTTACGATTAGTCTCATGGACTCAGAGCCTCTTTTGAACAAGACGATCACCAAAAACATTTCGCCCTGTAAGACTAACGGAGAAAGGAAAAACCTCCGTCGAGTTGATATAATCAATAACCGCTGGTCGGTCAATCGAGCGAGTACTATGTCGCCCAATCATTCAAGTACCCCCCATAATAAGTCCCATGAGCAGATTTGTATCGTATTCAAGGTGAAAGGGAGGGGGGACGAGAAAGGCCTCCAAGGTCTGGATTTAACAGAGGCTTTGAGAATCTGAGTGAGGTATAGTTTGAGGCCCATCGTGGACTACGATTTTAATCTTCTGTAACCCCCCTTATCGTATAAGAATTCGCTAAAAATAACCATCAAGACAATAAACGAAAATAATTCACAATTTTCAACATTCTAGGGAGTTACAGGTAGTTATCCTAAATTCTAGGTATTTACAGTTGCAATGCCCTAATAGCTAAAGAAGCATATGGTGGATATTAGGTAAACTACATCGAATCTTCACTTGTGCCATACATGATGTGGGTGGTTTCTCGGCATTATATAGGGAACAGTACAGGGCTTTATTACCGTGTAGACAATCACTTGAACGCTTCCAGAGCCATGCTGGCGGCAACTATTGTCACGTATCAACCTCCTATATGATATGCCCTCATAGGAGTGAGTATGAACGCTCAAGTACCGCATACTCTACCTGATTAACCCTCCATTCTCATAAAATTCCATTACATACCTGCTTTTTATGCTAACATACCTACCTACCTACCTATAGAATATAGTTTCTTCCCGAACATACTATACGCCCCAGAAGCTCCTTTTGCATCATAATGTTTAGAAAGCCGTGCCTATAACCAAAGTTGCTCGAGCTTAATATAGTTGCAGTACTAGAACATCTAGCCAAAAACTAACGCTTCTGGAAGCTTTGCTGATTTCTGTATTCTTTGAACATTGCCATGTATCTAGGAGCTTATAGGAACGGAGTGGACGATGTGAGATAGGATTGATACAGAGGTAGATGATACCGCTTCTTTTCGGCTTGAGAGTAAACTATCTAACCTTAGGTAGGTACCTACTCAACACTCTGTCGGAAGCTACTTAGTACTGTAGTTGATGTTCTCGAAATAAGTCTTCATAGGTAAGTACAAGGTATATCTACCTGATTTAATAACTCCCTATTTATTTTAATTGATTTACCTATTAATTTCTTTTCCTGAACCTACCTCCTACCCCTATTCATCAAGGAATCTCCAAGGAACTATAATAGTCTACAATAAGAAGTATGCCAAAGAGATATAAGCAACAATCGTTTGAGAAGCCATATCACAGAAAATATAAAGACAGCAAGTACCTACCCCTAATCCAACTACGATTTCGAATTAATAGCGAGGAAATATCTCTTATCCACGTCACATCTACCTACACCGGAGAGCGTACGTACCTAAGTCTCCCTAAAACACAAAACCCTCCTCTGCTTATGGCCCTACCGCAAAATTACAAACCCGATCCTACAGCGTCCCAGTAAGCCTCCAGCTCTCAAACAGACACCGCTACACAATATACTACACCGCGGACCCCATGCTCTTCATATCTTAGCTACCTTAGGTACCTCCTAACCTGCAGTCTATAAACTTATCTCACATGAACAAAATCGCCACGGCATCACACCAAAGGGACTCGCGCAATGCGAAGAAAAACCAGACTTTCAGGTACTAGAGGTCTTAAGTCTGTCAACTTGCACCAACTATTACAACTACAATTAATATGAACTATTACTTATTACATTCCATATCTCCTTTTCTTTCAAAGTTTCGAAACCAAATAACTACCTAACCTAAAACAAGAAGCAGCAAAATAAAAACTACACATTATCTCTTAAACCCTACACGCGAAGCCTCTCCTACGCATATACTTGGGTACCGTATATACTCTGTACTATGTATGAGCGTGGGTGAATGTGTATGTGTCATGTAATGTAAATATCCCTTCATCTGGTCCGGTTTATTCTAGCCACAGCCACAAAAAGCTCTGGAAGATACACATTTTGCGCGCCTTGCTTGCTTGCTACCTATACCAGCCAGCGTCTTCTCTCTCCTCTTCCTATTTCATCATCAAGTATTACCAATCAAAGCAAACATTCCTGCCTGCCAACCAACCCCCCCCTTTACTTAATTACTAGGTAGCTATCACCTAACACTCTACTCCTCGGTGACCTGCAGGTCCCTGAGGCCTTCCACCTTGAGTTCCTCGCCCGTGGCACGCGCGTAGATGTCCTTGACGTCGTCCGTGGTCGTCTCGAAGTGCGATGTCGCGTCGTAGCTCTTGGAGATGAAGACGTTGTCCTTGGTGCCGTCCTCGAGAGGCTCGTAGAGAGGGATGGGGGGACCCTAAACGAATAGTAAGTATTTGAATATTCGAGTTTAGTAAGAGGTATGAGACACTAAATATCGGCTTACCATGAATTGCTCTTCGATCTGGCCGAGGCGCTCTAGACCGGGTTGTAGCTCGAGGTGGTGGTTGGAAGTGGTCTCGGCAATGGTAGAAACGATGGCGATGTAGTAACCCTTGGGGCACACGTTATGTGCCGACGAGACGCAGGCAATGTAGATATCTATGATTCATTAACCACCCACTCGCTTACCATGTTTCCTAATTGTGACTTACCGTTCTTGCGGCCAACCTGAGACTGAGGAATAATTATTTGGCAAGAATCGTTGTCGCTGGTGCCAGCCAAGGGGTGCTTCAGGACGCAGATAGCCTTCAGCACGTGGCCGACAACCTTGACCTTCTCGGGGAAGTACGAAGGGTCACCAAGGATCAGCTTGGCCTTGGTCTCAAACTTCATCTCGGGCTCGATACCAGTCATGGTAGCCTTGATACCCGTCGCCTTGCCACCCTCGTATACAACCTCGTCGACCGAGGTGTTGAGCATGTAAGTACCACCGTAGATAGCAGATAACCGCGCGAAACCCTGGGGCAGCTCGCCGAGACCGTACAGAGGGTAGATGTAAGGCGACTTGCCATACCTCGCTACCGAGTTACCGTACATCCTAATACGCTCGATAGCTTCGGGGGCCTTGCCGGCTTCCTCGCTGTAGTCGTCGTTCAGGTAAAGAGCCATAGCGTGGCCGACGAAGTCGCGAGTGCTGGGCTCTAGACCGAACTTGTCGTAAATTTCCTTCATCGTGCACGTGCTCATGTCAAGACCTAGCCAAAGATGCGCCATTAGCTATTAATTCCCATGTTGGGCAGTGCCGCTACTTACCCTTATGCGTGGCGGGATCCTTCGGATCGAAGGTACCGATCCATTCTATGAAGCTCTTCATCCGTCGCTTCTCGAAGATGCCCATCAGGGGAGAGCGCAAGGCCTCAGCAGCATCGGAGGGGACCTTGGCAACGGTGGCCTTTGATCCGGCACCCTGCTGGACGAAGCTGCCTGCGACCTGCTTAAACTCGAGGTAGCGGGTGACGTCGGTAGAGACAAGGATGTTGGTCAGCTCTCCGGACGACATGAGGAACTTGGGGACCAGGTCGATGTTCCAGTCGTTAGGTCGACCGTACTTCTTCCATGGCTCCTCGCCTGCTGCGAAGTTGCCATACTTCTTGAATAGCTATTATATAGGAAAGGAGAGGGTTAGTTTCATCCAAGTTTATCAGCAGACATGACGAAGGTGAGGAAGTGGAATAAGTACCGTCTCGAGGTTTACGGATGCAGCTTCACTGTATAGAGATAAGGTTATTAGTAAATACGTCGACTAACTTATAAGGAGGGGGGAAGTCGTTGCTTATTATCACTTACCCTCCGTAGTGATCATTGCGATCGATGTGCAAGACCTTCTTGCCCTTCACACTCAGCACACTTTGATGTTGATGTTATGTTAGTACCACATCGAATCGGTGTGTTTGATGAAGCTGCTTAGCTATGATGTAATCCATACCCAGAGAGAATACACTCGGTTAAACCTATGCGAGAGAACAAGTTGTGTTAGTTAAGTCGAACATCACGAAGAGCTCGAAAAAAAAACACCCCACTACTAAGGCTGTATGTACTAAGACAAACAAGATTCCAAGCTGGGAATGCGGGGCCTAAAAAGGGAGAGAAAACTTACCGGTGCCCAAGACGATAACATCGTACTCCTTTGCGATCTCGTCCATGGTGTTAGTCCGTAGTGCGATATATCTTAGTTGGTATTAAAGCAAGAAGTTTCCCGAGTCTTTTTTTTCTTCTTTTATCGTCGAAGCTGATTCAAGGGGGAGTTAGGTTTATTGACTCCAGGCCAAACGAGGAAGTGATGTTTTAGGAGAAGGAGTAAAAAGGTAAATGAGGAAAAAGGAAAAAATAAAAAAGTATCGGTGAGGAGAGATAGAAGGTTAGGTCGTTGTGGTGGATACAAAGGTAACTTTGGTTCGTTTATGGTTCTGAAGCTCGAGTATCAATGGAACTGAACCACTGGACCGTTTGGGGACCACTGGTGACTGCACCGCTGGGACCGCTGGAACCACTGAACCCCTCTAAGGAGAGCTATAGCCAATTAGATTTAATTAACACTGACCCCGCGCTTGGCTAAGCAACTCCCCCCCTTTTTTCCTTACCTTACCTAACCTTAGTTAAAACTTTACCATTGCTCTCCCCCTTTTCCCCCCTTATTTCTAGGTACTTTAGTAGGTATTTCCTGACCTTGCTACAAGGTATCACGCACTATTGATTGCCTATATTCCCTATAATCATCACTATCACCATATTAAACCTAGGGACCTGAAATTATGATCCATGGGTACGCTCAGTAGGTAATTAATAGTAATTTACTTACTTCGTACCTCTCATTATAATACAGGTACCTACCTAGTACCTAGGTAACTTAGGTAGGGAGGTAAATTACCATCAGTTATAAGTCACGTAACTATAATAACTTGGACACCAAGTTACCTACCTACCTGGTAGGCTTACAATTTACATCTCCCGACATCTTGCAAAGTTGCAGCCCTTTTCGCTTAATGTAACATAGGTTAAGTATTTACAAGTTACTCCATCGCTGGAGCTAATACTAGGTATATCAATACATGATAGGTATATACCCGGAGCGTCATACTCTCGTCGACGGCTGCTGAGGCTCTGTAGCACTAGGTGGGAGAGTAGACGGGTCGACCGTTTCAGCTACCGGCTTTTCTGGTTCTTCTTGCTGCTGCTCTTGTTCTGATGCTTCTTGTTGTACCTCCTCCTTTTGCTCCTCTACCGGTGCTGCGCTCTGTACTTCCTCGTCGAGATACGAACTCGGGATATAGGGGCGTTCCGTGTTAGTTAGATCGATTTCAGGGTCCGTCTCAGCTAGCTTTCTCGCGTCCTCCCATACGTAGAATCGTTCCGTCAGCGTATGCTTGATCGACTTCATGGTCTTGCGGACCTATGCGTCATTTGTATATAAGATTAGCGCCGGTTTGCGTTCGGCGGGCCGTAGACGCAGGTTCTTACCTCTGTTAGTCTCTCCTCCGCAACGTCCGCCCCGTCTCTAAGCTTCAGCCGGGCCCTCTCCTTCCGCGCCGTAGCGATGCGATTTTGTTCCTTGACGCAAACCCACCAGAGCTTGTGCAGGTCGTCCCAGCTCTTATGTCGTAGCTCCTCGACAGTCCACCCGCGCCCGTGCTCGGCCTCCTCGTCGGGCGTGAGCAGCAGCTTTTCCTTGGAGTAGAAGAAGTCCCACAGCCCGTGGTTCGGGTCGACCTTGATCTCGGGCTTGTAGTCCACCGGTTTCGGCAGCTGGTGCTTCTCGATATTCATACGGAACCGGGGGCCGGATCTGTATATGGCACTCAGGCCGCGAAATCGGTTGTTGTCGCGGCGCGGCCGTCGCTCGTTTCGCTCCGGGGTCGTGGAGAAGGGGCAGCTTTGGGTGGCAGCTTTGATCAAAAGCACGCCCAGAAACGAAGGGTTCGCGACGTTCTGAGTCCCGGAAGTGCCTATTATCCGGCCAATTGCAGGCCGGACGGGGGTAGTCGTCGCCATGACAGGTATTGCGAAATGCTTGCGAAATGCATAAATGTGATGGTCGCAACTTTGATTGAATTTTTGGGGTTAATCCGATTTCAGAGAGAGGTTAATCCGATAAGCTATCGGTGGGGGTCAGGAGTACCTTTTTGCATTACGTAAGGCAGCTTCTTACATAAAAACTGCCTGCCACAAGTATCCGCCAGATCTGTGGCTTAATAGATAGATCTACTGTGCATACATGTGATTACTACCTAGGTACATATACGCGTTATTACTGTAAATATGCAAGTCAACGTGACAATTCCCGTATCCGAGTACCTACATCAGTTTTGCTTCGAGTCTTCGACGCGTCCACAAGGTCATGACTACAAGGCTGAAAGGAATTAATCGTCGATAGAAAGATGTAGTACTACGACGGTAGATGACTATAGACCATGCTAATGTTTGCTTCCAAAATATATGCAGCATCACATAGAAAATTGGCTGATTGTTGTAGTATGCAGACAAGTTGTTTGAGTAGAACTTGGTGTTTGATGTCGTCGAGCTGCTAGCAAACCCATCCATTATTATCTTGATATATTGTCTTGATATATTGTCAATCTAATCCACGACTACATACAGGGATAATATCGAGGTAGGTTTGCTTAAGCTTTTCCCTGGCATGTGTCTTTTTAATACTTGGTCATAATACATAATACCCAATGAGGTATAATTGGGCAGTATTGGGTTGGGCTACCGGGGCAGGACATGTGTCCGGTTCCCCTTCTATAGCAGTATTGAGCTCTATCTTCTTCCATGGTGCTGGGAGTCAAATAGCAAATGTACGTGACATATCACAATAGTATATTCTAACGTCGAAGCCTATTCTACACGTAAACACCTAGATTCTCCTTGGTACCTAGTACCTATCTTTTCGTCTTTTCTTTTTCTTTATGGTTGAAATACTTTCCATCCAATCAACGTATCTGGACTCTACGATCAATATAAGTGCTTCGGTATAGAACACGCGCAAGTTACACTTTACTAATATACCTAATATGCAAGGTAGTTCGGACTCGTATTGACGCAAGGAACTAGATGTCGTTCTGGCTAGCGATTGTTTCTACGAGAATTGTCCAAACCAAATTTACATCTTCGTGAGTCGTTAAGGGATGATCCTGTTTTACTCTCCCAAGTGATGCTTGCCGAACTTGAAGAGAAACGCTGTTTCCTTTCTTATGGCCTTTCTATACTTTTTCATATATTATAGGAGATTTTAGGAGCAGGAGCGTGCCGTCTTGGTGTGTTCGTATCGATCGATTAAAATAATTAAGAAAAGGAGTTGTGGGAGAAGACAGCCATTTTATATCCGTATACGCGTCCTCGAATGGGAGTGGAGGATCTATCGATGATGTTAAATTCGGAACGGTGTTGTCGTCGTCGTCGAAAGGTTGGGCGGGCAAAAGTCGACGCGGTAAAAAATGAGGTTCTACTGATGATAAGTTCTAGGTAAAGCAGTGGATACGCACTTCGGCAACAAGTTGAGGCTCTGTCGTTAGATCCCGCTTTCTCCAAAAGTCAAGCTTCACGCCGGGTAGCATATGGAGCACTGGAGACGTGCTACTACAACCATGATTACAAACCTGCTTCTGGGGAAAGGGATGGTCATGACTCCATATTCATGGGGTATCTTGTGGGGGGCACTTCGCGAGCGGACGAAGAGCTACACGACGGCAATCGCTTGTTTAGAGATAGGTTGGGAGCTATATTGAGGAGATTCATCACGACCATCAAGATCTTTACTCGGAACACTTTTATGATGCAATTCTCGCGTCTCTCCCAAACCCTTTACTGCCTTATTTCTTTGGGATGAATTTTCCCATATAGGTTTGTAAGGAGGAAACCCCTGAACTTGCAAAGACCTAGCGCGGACGTGCTCATCCCGGGACACCTTCCTTAACTCGGATAGCGCTCCCACTGATACTGAATACAATATATGATTCCTCTAGATACTACGTACAACGCGGGAAAAGGACATGATGTTGATGGGTTCATCGTCATAAGTTTTTCTTCTTCCGTCTCTCCTAAATTATTACACGTAGGCATTGCGTGGCAGGAGACTTGCAGACTGTATGTAGCTTAGAAATAGCACAGCATACTAGAAACAGTAGTCCGTATTTCGCAACGAGGATGTTCCATGCACATCTGCCGCAAAGAAATCCGTAGCAGGAAGACGAGACCCACCACGAACTTCTGGATTCTCTCCTAAGCTCCCTAGGCTTCACCGAAGTTTTGCAACCGTCTTACTGTAGGCTCGGTGTAATGGCGAATAGTCAAGCCGTTAGTTCTCCAGCTTCTAAAGAAAAATTCTCGTAAAACAAATTCAGCTATTCGACCAGGCGGTAAAGGTACCTGTTAGTAGGTGCCGTCCAATGAACTTTCCCCCCTACCTCAAGCATTTCGTCTGGTACTGTATGCCCGCGGACACAGTGGAAAGTAAGAGGTAGATACTAGTATGCTAACATCCCGAACCCGGACTACGTTAGAAGCGCCGGCACTAGGGCGGACTAAGCGTGTTTCTGTTGAGAAGAATTGGTAAAGAAAATTCGAATAAAAAAAATAATATCTAATATAACCTACCTTAAGGCATGCCCGAGCTTGGCGGTTTCGGTTAGCCTGGGTCACGATGCCTCACTCTACATCGTCTCGCAATGCTACGTGGTAGCGCAGAACCTGCAGGTCATACTGGTTGCTGCCGAGATTTGGAGTCGGAATGGGCGACGCTATGTATTATGGCCATCGAAAAAAAAACAAGGATCTGGATATCGCGCTTCTTTCATGTTCTTTAGGTTGTGTTAGGTTAGGTTAGGTAGCTAGAATAGCATTCTCGTATGTATGTAGATCCTTTGCCCTGCCTTGTTGGCCGTCTCCTTTACCGGGTTGTAAATATTCATGCAAATGAAATGGTGATAGGGCTTCAAGCCAATGCCCTTTTGGGACATATACTATCATTATGAGCAAATAAGTCGTATTCTGATCTACAATGAGTGCTAGGGACTGTTTTCTACCTAGGCAATATTGTTTTTACATGATACTACGTTTATCATGCAGATATATCATTGTATTTCGTATGCCTTGCTTCTATGCCAACCCTGCGGGGGTCTTTTTTTTTCTCGTTAGATGCGATTAGCTTCATTGAAATAGTAATGCTTCATTTAGGGTAATAGACAAGTGTTGGCACAACGATACTGAACGTAATGATAGGCATTCAAATACGCTCATTTATATTGGGCAAAACTTGGGCTATAGCAATATTGAACATATATATTATAGTATTAAGCTACGTATCCTACGAAGTAACGGCGAGAAAGGTGACGATGGTAGGTATGTCATCTAGGCGGCATTTACCGTCTGGAAGATGTATCTCGTCGTTTCCCAATCTGCATGTAGTGTATACCAAATCCCTTCACCGGAGTCACCGGAAGCTATCGTCAAGCTATTCGAAAAGCGTCGTCAAGGAGATTCCGATGGTTGTATGTGTCCTGGCCTGTGAACTAGCCATGCTCGGGATAATCATGATGGCTTGCTTCACCCGGCGGGGGCTCTCGCTGCTCTTAATAGATACCTAGACGATCATTCAATATCACCTACCTTAGGATGTACATACTATTAAACCCGAAGTTGGTAATATCAAGTATATCGGAATGCAGAATGTCTTCACTCGTTATATTCAATGGTCGGCGTATGTATAGATGGTCAGCGTGCATCACCGGGTCTAAGCAGGTCTAGATGCAGAGTACGGCGTTGTTCTGCCGGTGCTACCTTTTCTCCCATTTGCAGCAACGACGAGTAACAACTCGAATAGATCCCGGAGTATTCGGGATCTACTCCTGCCACATGAGATTGGCCCCTTTCTGTTCGCTTCTACACAACCTCTGTGATCGCATTGCATGCCAACGGAGAGCCAATGCTTCATATACCCTGCCCAACGAGCTGCGGGGGAAGCAGGACTTTGGGCACTAGACGATCTTGAAATAAACAAGCATGGAAAGTCAAAACCGTAAGCCATGAATCCTCTAAGGCACAGCTAGCTCAAGTCGTAAGAATATAGAATATGATGAGCAATTTGGATGCTGAAACAAAGTACTTAACTGATACGTGATGATGTCGCCAACCTCGAACGATGGTATAATATTGGTTTGTAGTTGTTCAAAATTAAAGCCGTGAAATTTTAGAGAGGTCGTATTTACGTGGGATGCAAGCATCGTGAGTGATACTTCTGCGCGTGGAAGAAATTGCGTTAAGATCGTTATTCCTAGGCGTTGATTGTTTCTAATGCCAAATGCATAACGTTTGATTTGTTTTCCTTTTTTCCTTTTTTCCTTTTTTTAATGCACAGTATTTTCAGGTAAACTTTGCCTACCTGTTTGGGACTCGGTTGATAGAAACCCTATCAGGATCGCAGCTCATAAGATCTTCGTCAGTTATCCCCTGCGGATTGCCTTTATCGGAAGCCCGGCCATTTTTTTTTTCTCTTCAGGACTCGAGACAGGCCATCCCGCGGACAAGAACCGCCAGACCCTAGGGCGAAACCAGCTGATGCTTGCCCTGTTGTCGCAACTGGTGTAACCGTCCACGTTGGGGGTTCTTTGTGGCAAGACCATTCCATTCGGCAGGATCATGCGTTGCAAATCGTTAGTGCTTCAGAGTTCCTGTTGTCCGTAAATGCTTGGATTAGCTAAACTATACTGCTATGGAAATATTTGTATGAACACCTTTGGTTCCCTTTGATCTGAGTCGCTGCGGAACGAGTATCTCATGGGCGGTCTTTGCATGATAGGACCGGGGGGGAGCTGGCATTTGGATCCTGTTCTATGAATAATCAGTATCTACATAATTTCGGAAGCAGTAGATGCGCGCCTCGCCCACAAGCGCGCCATCCAGCAACTTTATATAATGATAGTTGGGTATGGCGGCGGGGGAATCATTGCCGGCGGCACAAGCGTACCTACATTGCATCCCATACCGCTTTATACCGCTTATATCACTAGAAAAATTATATACCGTAACATATCGTATATAGCTTTTACATAAATATCCCACGTATACGCCCATGTATATACCTACCTAACCTACCTCCTACTTACCTACCTTAGGTAGGTATAAATATATATATATATTTACACGATACCACGTATTCGTCATGGTTCGTGCCAGCCCTGCCGGTTAAGCGGTTATGTATTTTGTAACGATCTGGAAAACTGCGCTACTAGGGGATTAGGAATAAGTCTCTGTACGTGTAGTGAGAGTTCGCGATGAGACAAGTCTCCTAAATAATAATACCCGTAAAGGGTATTGTCTTTTTTTTTCCCTAAATATTTCTGGCTATGGCTTCTCCGGGACCCCCGTCCCCGTCGCGGGGAGTTATTTTGGCTTGATTATCTTAGCTTGGAAGCTTGGGAGGCTTCCATGGTTCCTCGTCGCTCCCAGCTTCCCCCTTCTCAATGGGGTCACGTCACGATGTTGCGGTCGAGGTTGGAAAAAAAAATATTACCATGCGTAACAGCGGCGGTATCGGCACTTGAAAATATCGTGTCGTCTTTCCATGATTACCACATTTATTGAAGACAACGATGCATAATCACACGGCCATGAAGAACCTCGCATGCGAAGATGGGGGGGCAAAGGGTTCCTGGATTCGGTATGATAGGATAAGAATTTCGGTGCAAGCTCGGCCAGGGCGGTTGGCGATGATGCAAGAATCATGCTAATAAACACTGACCGCCAAACAGGAGAGGCAAGGAATTGGGGAATTGGGAATGGTTGGACAACATACAAAGGTCGGACGGGAGGACGTTAAACCAAAAGGGGTAGCATACCCTGAACAACAACCCCCGGTCTGCTAGCCACGGTTTTCCTTGACCGCGCATGGATTGCTGCATAGCTATATCCCGGATAATTGCAAATGATCCCAAGAGATGATCGCCAAAGTATCACGGTACTTGACCAGACTTATGTATCTACATCAACGAAAAAAAGAAAGAAAAAAAAAGTAGGGTAGGTAGATACGAAACTCTACGTACATTGTATATTGTCTCTTTTCTCACCTTCGATGGTACATAACCTAAGCACCACGGGTTAATAAGGATTAGCTAGGTACCTAGTGTTAGACGATAAATGAAAAATAATGATGATGAGAAATCTGAATAAGAATCACCTACCTACCTGGTAATATGTATGTGAGATCAGCAGGACGCTGATGGACGACGGTGATGAACACTAATAAATAATACGTAACTATCCAATTCGACTACCTAATAAGCCCTCGTTCCGGTTTTTACGTTGGACGAGGATGTAACAGAAAAAAACATCTACATGACCGCGTCCTTTTTCCTTATTTTTTTTTCTTCTTCCGGCTGAATTTTTACCTCTTTGTTGACCGCGTAATGCCTGCTGACCGAAAGAGACGGTTTTGAAGTCCTCACGGCCCGTCTCAAGTTTTTTTTCTTCGGGAGGTGTCGACTCGTCACTCTTGCGGCTTGAATGGTCCGGCGGATACCCGGTTGTGTGCAGGGACCTCCTTGCAATATGGTGCATTCGAATGGGATCCGCCAATGGTGGACGGGCGGAGATGAGTGCGTATCTTGTATTATGTAGTAGTACCTACCTACCCTATATTTGTATGTAACACCCCCTAGCGAGCGAGTATAGTACTTCTCATATCTTACTACATACCTGTATTCCTACTATGTATACAGATAGAGTACAGGATAGATGTGCCAGTTACCAAAGACATAGAAGACCCCACGGATGATATGTTGATGTTGATATCATCTGCACTCGAATGTTACGTCTCCAAGGCAAGTCATTTCCCCAACAACTTCTCATGTCTTCATCTAGTTTCGATCGCAACCTGCTGGAAACGTACCTAACGTACCGTAGGCGGACTATCGAGCTTAGAAGATACCCAAATATGTAATGATGACGCCCCTAATCGTTTGCTACACCGTCCGTACTCGACTATTCGGCTGCGTTCTAGAGCAAATACTGTGTGCGTGGTGCGGTCTAGGAGGCTTCTGTACGTGCGCATGTGCTACGATCAATACATAGACATGCGCGCACAGCATCGTATTGTGCACACCTAACCTGCCCAAGTAGTCCGAGGTAAGGTTGTATGGAATCGGTTAGAAATGATAAATGGAAAATTCACAATGCTAGAGCTAGCCGCCCGCGATGGGTGTCTTGTTTACGTGCTTCTTACAAGATGCGATTCATTATCAACAAAAAATCTCTCCCAGCCGCCTATCCCTGCTACAGAATCGAAATGTCTCTTTTCGATCCTGCACTATGTACGGCAGGGTTCCGTAACCAGCTGCCAAGAATATAGAAAAAGGTTTAAAACTTGGAAGTTGGTGATGCTTAATAAACAGATGATTACTATTTGGGGAGAAATGAGGCTACGTATTATGTCCTCATCTTGTCTCGGCTACTTATTAGATACTAATTGCCTAGTGTGAGTTATTAGGCATACCACACTTTGAAGATGAGTGATGCCAGATGACAAAATGCCATGTGGGAGGTGGGACTCCCGCCGTCCAGGAGAAACCTACTGCTACGTACGGCATGTTGTTGAAGATAAGTCGTTCAGTACCTTGACCTTGCTGACATGGTGTGTTAGTGGCCCCTTACCTCAACCCCCTCTTCCCAAAAAAAGAAAAAAAAAAAAAAAGAAAGCATCAAGTCCCCCGTCGTAGAAGAGTTATGGAAGGACTGGAGACACAATGGCCCTTTTAATATGGAGCTGGTGCAGTTACACAGGCTGGGTCCTGTACGCGTGCCGTCTTTGATTAATTCGAACTGAGATTCCGGGCCATGTCGCGCATATTCAGATCTGCCCACCTTTTGGAGGCTGAAGCTGAGGTGTCCACCCTACGTTGCACAAAACCCGCAGCAATGGTTGACGGAGGATGTGGTGGATGGGATTTGTGCGGTTTTGTATGGGGCTCTTCCTGGAGATTTCCCAGGATCATCTCCAAGAGGACCCAACTACATACGACATCAGACTCCCACGAAGCTCCACCCCTTTCTAGCTTTGCAGCTTCCGCCATGGATGAGGGGAGAGAGAGAGAGAGCTTACCAAGTTCAGGCCTTCGCCCTACGTTCCGAATCTCTGTCCTCGGAACGCAACAGCGCCAATGATGAAGGTCAGCTTTATTTTTGTTGCTCGCTTATGTAGTTTGAACAAAAACTCTTGTTATTGCCTAGCAAGCTTGGTGTGAAAACTATTTATCGGAATTACTATTAACGGATACTGCTGTATCACCTGAAGCAAAGAGAGTCTTGAGTCAAGACTGCGAGTTCGGCAAGCAATATATTCCCGTATGCTAGACCGACAGTTTTGCCCAGGCTTGTTTGCAATCTCGCTAACTTGCTTTCTATATAGTATATTATCGTTCTCGGATTCGAAGAAAGAAGAAATATTTTAGTTTGAGTTAAGGGATACAAACAGTGCCAAAGTCTACATAGGCTTCGTACTGAAGACTAGTCTAGTAAATGATCTAGTAAATGAAACCAATCCCTTCTGGTTAGGTAATTGCACCCTTTCCAGCGGTGATCTCGGCATCTCTTCCTATCGACTTCCTGGAGTCAATCAACAATTACCGAACTAGCTTGGCGAGACTAGGGGCTCATTCATGGATCAG